TTTTCCGAAAGTGCTGAGAGGTGGTTATATTATGTCTTTATAAATTATTTACTCATGCTACATCTCTCACCACAGTTAATGGAAAATAGAGGGCAGACACACACAGAGTGTACCACACATGTCCAAAGATGTGCACAACTTTTCGCCATCAGAGGATCAGATGATGTAGTCTGAAGACAGGATTTAGGCCCATTTATTGAATATTACATTCATACTAAATACTATAAGACCTAAAATGTGCAAAGTAAAAAGCATATTTTTAACAAAATGAGTCATAACTGACACGCAACATTTCCAGTATGACCTTTGAGAAAAGTGATTATTTACACTCCTTAGATTACTTTAGAAACTGCACCACTGATGGCAAGGACTATAAGCAGAGGCCTGAGGAGCTTTCAATCAACCCAGACACGTCAACAACCAGCTGACAGTTGAGGCAGGAACTGGAAAGATCAGATCTGGTGCATACGACTATAGCTACGATGCAATATGGCACACTTTAATGTAAATAACGTCTTCACCTGAGAAAAGAAATAGTGGTGCTGTAGAGATTTCTGCGGGTACTCTGGTCAAACTCATGCCGTGTCAGAAAACATATCAAAGAATATCTAACAGATTAATTTTCTTTGAACATTCATAGAAAAAACAAAACAAAAAAAAACAAACAAAACAGGAAGTGGGGTATAAATCATGCGGCTTTGTTGTGGTTCACAGTTATCAAACACAGCGACTGGTTTTAAAGGTTTGATTAGGATTTAAAGGTTCATTTCTTATATTCCTAGAATATGAATATAAACGATCACCTGGGAATAGTAGGTAACAGGCCTGGATACACAGAGGACCAGAAGACCTGATACTGAAAGGCCGGTTTGATAAAAATTTGATGAATTTCTTTTATCCTCAACTTGGCGAAACAAATAAAGAAAACAACAGTAGCTTGTATTTGCCCCAGGCTGGGCAAGTTGATACACATTTCTTTAACATTATATTTGATGCCTAAAACTTTCCAACTTGCCAGTTCTGCTGTGTAAACAGGTTTGTAAAGACGAGTCAGCAGACACAAAGCAAACAGAAGTCCACTTGTATTCGCAGACAGTGTCAGCGCCTATCAGTTCACACGGCAGACGTGAAACAGTGTGACAGAAAAGCATCGCAGTGGTCAGAATTAAAAGATGCCACACAGACAAGCTAAATGCATTTACAAGTAAAAATGACAACCGGCGAGTCAGCCACTCTGCCAGGATCCGTGATTAGACCTGCCAATCAAAACCTGCCACATCAGCGAGAGCTGCAGATGTCCCTGAATCTGCTGTCACCCAATCAGAACTGCCTGCCAAGCATTTCGGCGCATGCTGAGAACTCAACCTAACCTGTCTGGATGC